GACCAGTCCTATAAAATGCACCCCCATACCTGGTTGAATCATTTACACTACGTCAGCAGCATGCCACGACTCACGACAGCTCAGAGGAACCAGGCGCTTGGAAGACTCAACGCTGGCCACACTGCCCAGGGCATTGCCAATCACTTCCAGGTCAATGTTCGGACCATCTACAGGCTTCAGTAACGCTTTCGGCCACCAACACTATGGATGATCATAAATAGTGTACATATTTCTTTTGTCTTATTTCTTTACATGTTAAAATTTTGGGGGGAGGGATTATATAGGCTTTGCCTGTTTCCCAATCCTAAAATCAAATAAAATATTGTTCATAAAAAAAAAAGATAGGTTGCCAGGCACAAACCATACGCCCACAGCAGCTAAATCGTTCGAGTGGTTGACAAGGGTTGTAGCATATTTATTCTTTTGTAGGTAATTAGGGGAATTTAATAGACAATTTCATACAGATGACATTATAATTTTCGTCGTTTGAGGGTTCACAAGGTTCTAAAAACTAAAACAAGGGCCGTAACTCTGGAAGTAATCTACAGAAATTGTTGAAATTCGACAGGCTTTTTCGTTTCACTAATTCAAATAATGCATATAAATTTCATACAGATCGGATGATAACTTTTGTCGCTCGAACGTTCACAAGGTTCAACAAAGTTCTAGAAGTAATTGACGGAAATTGCTGACATTCAATAGGCTTATTTATTTCACTTATTTAAATGATGCATATGAATTTCATACAGATTAGGTGATAACTTTTGTTGTTAAGCGTTCACAAGATTCAACAAAGTGAAACAAGGACCATAACTCTAGATGTAATTAACGGAAATTTGCTGGAACTCAATAGGCTTGTTCATTTTACTAATTTAAACGATACATATAAATTTCATACAGATCGGATAATAACTTCACAAGGTACAACAAAGTGAAACAAGGGCAATAACTCATGGCGTAATTAACGGAAATTGCTGAAATTCAAAATGATTTTTCGTTGAACTAATTCAAATGATGCATATCAATTTCAAACAGATCGGATGATAACTGTTGTCATTAGAGCGTTCACAAGATTCAACAAAGTGAAACAAGGGCCATAACTCTAGATGTAATTAATGGAAATTGCTGAAATTCAATAGGATTCTTCGTCTCACTAATTTAAATAATGCATATAATTTTCAGAAAGATCGAATGATAACTTTTGACGTTAGAGCATTCACAAGGTACAACAAAGTGAAACAAGCGCCATAACTCACGGAGTAATTAACGGAAATTGCCGAAATTCAATAGGCTTCTTCGTTTCACTAATTTAAATGATGCATATCAATTTCAAACAGATCAGATGATAACTGTTGTCATTAGAGCCTTCACAAGATTAAACAAAGTGAAACAAGGGTCATAACTCAAGATGTAATTAACAGAAATTGCTGAAATTCAATTGGCTTCTTTGTTTTACTAATTTAAATGATGCATATAAATTTCAAATAGATCGGTTGATAACTCTTGTCGTTGGAACGTTCACAAGGTGCAACCAGTGGCTGTCAGGCAGGATACGCCCACATTTTCGAGAGATTGATAGAACAAGCTAAAAAGAAAGTTATTTTTCCTACAATCAAGGGCCATAATTCATGAAGCTACAATTTGATATGCGCATATATCGAAAGGAACCAAGATCTTTGGGTTATAAACATGCATTTCAAGTTTCATCAAAATTGGATTAAAATTGTGACCTCTACAGGGTCCACAACTTTGATATACCATATTTTTACACCTTTTGGTTTGATTTTCAGGAAATTTGAACTCAACCTTTATTATGGTGTTAGGGTGATATATTCAAACGATTTTTAAAATCAGATAATAACTGTGACCTTCAGAGGGACCACAAGCTAAAAGATAGGTTGCCAGGCAACAAAACATACGCCCACAGCAGCTAAATCGTCCGAGCGGTCGTCAAGGGTTGTCCATATTTTTCCTTTGTAGGTAATTGGGGGCCTTTACAAGACAGTTCCATACAGATAAGATTATAAATTTTGTCGTTTGAGGGTTTACAAGGTTCTACAAACTTAAACAAGGGTCTCAACTCTGTAAGTAATATACAGAAATTGTTGAAATTTGACAGGCTTTTTCGTTTTACTAATTTAAATAATGCATATAAATTTCATACAGATCACATGATCACTTTTGTCATTCAAACGTTCACAATCGCCATAACTCTAGAAATTATTGACGGAAATTGCTGAAATTTAATAGACCTGTTTCACAAATTTAAATGATGCATATAAATTTCATACATATCGGATGATAACTATCATCAATCGAGCATTAACAAGGTTTAACAAAGTGAAATAAGGGCAATAACTCTAGAAGTAATTATTGTAAATTGCTGAAATTCAATAGGCTTTTTCGTATCACTAATTTAAATCAGGCATATAAATTTCACAAAGATCGGGTGATAACTTTTTGCGTTAGAGCGTTCACAAGGATCAATAAAGTGAAACAAGGGTCATAAACCTAGACGTAATAAACGGTAATTGCTGAAATTCAATAGGCTTCTTCGCTTCAGTAACCTAAATAATGCATATAAATTTCAGAAAGATCGGATGATAACTTTTGACCTTTAGAGTAGTGCTCCTACGACTAGTCGGATAGCCGTAAACGGTTAGAACTGGACGGTTAAACGGTTCGAATTCAACGGTACGGTTATTCGGAGATGTCCCCCATTACATAGAGTTGTGTCTGATTATATTCCTCTTTATAACAAAACTTGCACGTTGTCATTTTGTATTTGATGTTTGAAAATCTTAGAATGTAACAGTCGTCCTACGATGTCGACTGCTAAACAATGATACTATTAATAGCACTCGTCGTAGTTATGCGGCAAAGTCAACGGACCTTGTTCTGACTTTAGCTAATGTTAATCCAATCTAAATACTTCTCGGCATTTCTAACTATATTCTACCTTGTTTATTATTTACTTAAAAACGTATCCATCATTCAAAATATAATCATAAAGGATAGAAAATGACATTATACTAGATTCGTTACGACATTCAACACGTTTCATATCTCGTAATTTCTCGCAAGAATTCTACTTTGGTTTTTAGTTAATTTAACCAATCATAAAAATTCTACTTGCAAGCGAGGAATTAATTCTTTATTGTCCAATCAATAGACGTCTTCCAATTTACTTTATTCTATTCTTAGTAACATTGTGTAATCGTAATATTATCGCCATCTGTCACGTACGAAGGGAAACAGAGTATTGTTTTGTATATTATCGTAGATATATATTGAATTAAAAAATGTTTCAAATGAACCAAGTTAACCAGGTAAATAAATAACTACGGCCTTATAGTTTAAATTTTCATTAAAGAATTCCTGAAATTTTTGCGCGTGTAATGCCTTTTACTAAACTTTTAGGCGAGTATAGCGTGCACACGAGTAATGACTCGCACCTCCTGACAAGCTCTGTTTTATGTTTAAAATTGATACCATACGGTTAACGGTTACTAACCGGTTAATAGCTACGGCTATTCGAATAACAAAAAGTCCTAACCGTAGGAGCACTACTTTAGAGCGTTCACAAGGATCAATAAAGTGAAACAAGGGCCACAACTCTAGACGTAATAAACGGAAATTGCTGCAATTCAATAGGCTTCTTCGTTACAGTAACCTAAATAATGCATATAAATTTCAGAAAGATCGGATGATAACTTTTGACCTTTACAGCGTTCACAAGGATCAAAAAAGTGAAACAAGTGCCATAACTCTAGACGTAATAAACGGGAATTGCTGAAATTTAATAGGCTTCTTCATTTCAGCAATCTAAATAATGCATATAAATTTCAGAAAGATCGGATGATAACTTTTGACGTGAGAGCGTTCACAAGGATCAATAAAGTGAAACAAGGGCCATAACTCTAGACATAATAAACAGAAATTGCTGAAATTCAATAGGCTTCTTCGTTTCAGTAATCTAAATAATGCATATAAATTTCAGAAAGATCAGATGATAACTTTTGATGTTAGAGCAATCCGATATACGATATTTTTACACTATTCGCGTACAAGCGGCGGCCATTTTGTCCGGCAATTTTGGTCCAATTTTCAGGAAATTCGAACTCAACCTTTCATAACTCCAGAAGAAATTAACGGAAGTTCTTGAAATTAAATAGGCTTCTTCATCTCACTAATGCAAACAATATATATCAATTTCAAAACAATCAGATGATAAATGTAGTCTGAAGAGTGTTCACAAGAAATTGTGGACGACGGACGGACGGGGGGGCTATGGCAATATATGACCACATTTCCATGTGGGCGTATAAAAAAAATGCATACGCTTGAATAAGAAAAACAACTTTGCAAGGGTAAATGAGTAACCTATTGGACCCGTAGCTGTAAAATCACACACACGGCTGATAGAATAAACTTTTTTATGCTTTTCCCTTTTTCTATGCCTCCATCGAATATTGTAATTAATGTATTGGAAGTTCAAACTGTAATAAACAACGTAGTCCTCCTGGCTAAATAGATCTAAGATCTAAATTTTGTTACTAAATAATATATGGTAGTGCATATACTCAAGGCCTACATCCAACGTTTTATGCATGTTAATTTACAGTTAAAATTTAAAAGGTGATAAACTGAAACTATTTACAATATATGTTTTTACATTACACTATTATTGTCTCATCTAACAGTAATAAAATAGGCCTCCACTTCTATAATTTACATAACACTGTTTTTGTTTTTCTTTGAAATTGCCTCAAGCATACTCACTCAGTAGTGAGACCACCCCACTATTAAGAACATGTATAAGACGGAAATGATAACAATATACAACCACATTTCAATGTTGGTGCATAAAAACCATTATTTTTTTAGTGTAATTGCATAAATGAACATCAAAGTTGTTATTCGGTACAGAACACGACAAGTCCTGTCAGCCGAATCTATGTTTTCTTTTATTTTACTCAACACAAAAATATTACACTCACTAATTCTTCTTGTTGTATACGTTTAACTTCTAGCCGACTCGATTGTCTTCTAGGCATAGACTGCATCAACCTTCTTGTTAATTCTTTTTCCTACAATATACATTTGATAAAATACATAATCCATGGTCACAAATATTTCTTACAAGCCACTGAATACCCTGGAAATCTTACAATACAGACACTGTTATTAGCATACTACACATAAATATCTGCCATAACTAACCTCTTTATATATAATTCAGCTATGCTTCTACTAGAAAATCATGAATATATTCCAAAAAACCTGGCACAAAATGTAAATTCCAACCTTTTGCTTTGTAGAGGATTGTGAAATCCACTGACGATGGAAGTAAGACTTGGACATGGTAAACTGGTCCGGTTATTTTGGATACAGAAAACGTTGATCCAAATATTGGTTAGGACTGGAAAGACCAGTCTACCTATTTGACATTGCATGTCTGGTTAAGTCTGACTGCATGATCAGTAGGTTCATACTGATTGCCAATCTGCGTATATCAGGGCTAGAAATTCGTCAATATTTGCGAGAATCTAAATGATTCTAATATATGGAATCTGCGTGAATCCTCTGAATCTTAATTAATAATACTATCTAAAAAACAAATTTGTGTTTATTGTGTTAATCTAAAACATCAAAATACAAGAAAAATGATAAAAATAAAACAATCAGATGGAGTTTTTGGTAAACACTTAAGTTGTGTCAAAAGTAATATCCAGAAAATGTTGTAGTCAAAATAAGCTGATACAGCATCATGGCATTTCTTCATAGCACAATTTGTAGTCTTTTGTCCATCACGTAACTAGTCACGTAACTTGCAAAAGTTTTTATTCATTCGTCGATGAAAGACAAATGGCACAATGATCACGTGACAACCATAACTAAAGTTGCTATAAAATAAAATTCTGTACGACTATGATATAGCCTTCAATAATAGTTTTAAAATTAAGTCTCTGTCAGCATGTGTATAAAATAAAAAATCATAACGGTAAATGCTATTTAGAACTGGATTATTGACCCAATTCCAACTGATATGTCATTGGAATTCGGCATTTGAGATTCTGTTGGGAAAATATCCCCTGTTTCTCTCCCCGCGTATTCAGTGTTCTATCAGGGGATTGGTTTTTATTAAGTTCTGCCCTATGCTAACGTTTAGTATACAAAACTTTTAATATCATGGATTTAGCTGTTCAAGTCATAAAAATTCATTTAAAATCAATATACTTGTTCGTCTCAAGATCTTAAACTGTTTGTATTAATTTGAAGTCAATCGGATGATAACTTGAGCCTCTAGAGTGTCACAAGATTTTTCAATGTGATCAAGGGCCATAACTTTGGCAGTAATAATCGGAAATCGATGAAAATCAATAGGATTCTTCGTCTCATGACCTCAAACACTGTGTCTAAATTTAAAGTCAATCGGATATTAACTTTAGCTTCTAGAGCATTCACAAGATTATTTTCAGTGATCAAGGGCCATAACTCTGGCAGTAATTATCGGAAATCGCTGAAAATCAATAGGATTCTTCAACTCATGACCTTAAACATTGTGTATAAATTTAAAGTCAATCGGATATTAACTTTGGCCTGTAGAGTGTCCACAAGATTTTTTGAAGTGATCAAGGGCTTCTTCGTCACTGTGTATAAATTTAAAGTCAATCGGATATTAACTTTGACCTCTAGAGCGTCCACAAGATTTTTCAAAGTGATCAAGGGCCATAACTCTGGCAGTAATTATCGGAAATCACTGAAAATCAATAGGCTTCTTCGTCTCATGACAATAACAATTGACTATTTTACAGGCAAAATAACCAAAACAGTGACTTATGCAAAATTGCCCATTTCTAGGTAACTGCTTACATATTACAAACTAATTTTAACATACATTTTCTTCATATGGATTATAGCTATAAGTTTATAAAAGTTATGAAATCGAAATTAAAACCAGCGGCTGCCAGGCTGGATACGCCAACATTTTCGAGAGATGGATAGAGAACAAGCTAAAAAGAAAGTGATTTTTCCTACAATCAAGGGCCATAATTCAGAAAATTACAATTCGATATGAGCAAATATCGAAAGGAACCGAGATCTATGGGTTATAAACTTACATTTCAAGTTTCAACCAGCGGCTGCCAGGCAGGATACGCCCACATTTTCGAGAGATGGATAGAGAACAAGCTAACAAGAAAGTGATTTTTCCTACTATCAAGGGCCATAATTCAGGAAATTACAATTCGATATGCGCATATATTGAAAGGAACTGAACGAACGGCAGCCATTTTGTCTGTCAATTTTGGGCCGATTTTCACGAAATTCGAACTCAATCATCAAGTTTCAACAAAATTGGATAAAAATTGTGACCTCTATAGGGTCCACAACCTTGATATACCATTTTCTTACGCTATTTGAGAACGAACGACGGCCATTTTGAATTCAGTCGTACCTAGGGTGTAACGATGATATAATAATACGTTTTTTTAAATCGGGTAAAAATTATGACTTCTATAGGGTCCACAAGCTAAAAACGTGATTTTTTGTACAATCAGGGGTCATAATTCAGGAAGTTTCGATCCAATACATGCCAATATCGAAAGCAGCCAAGATCTTTTGGGGATAAACCTATATTTCAAGTTTCGTCGAAATCAGATAAGAATTGTGACCTGTAGAGAGTCCACAAACAATTGTGGACGGACGGACGGACAGGGGCGACGGCATAATACGTCCACATGAAAATGTGGGCGTATAACAAAATCAGATAAAAATTATGACCTCTATAGGGTCCACAACCTTGATATACCATATTTTTACGCTATTTGAGAACGAAGGGCGGCCATTTTATCTGTCAGTTTTGGGCCGATTTTCACGAAATTCGAACTCAGCTGTCCTTAGGGTGTAAGGGTGATATAATAACACGGTTTTTTTAAATCGGATAAAAATTATGACCTCTATAGGGTCCACAAGCAAAAAAACACGATTTTTAGTACAATCAGGGGCCATAATTCAGGAAGTTACGTTCCGATATGCACGAATATCGAAAGGAACCGAGATCTTTGGGTTATAAGCATACATTTCAAGTTTCAATAAAATCGGATTAAAATTGTGACCTCAACAGTGTTCACAGCTAAAAACGTGATTTTTCGTACAATCAGGGGCCATAATCCATTTAGTTATATCGAAAGGAACCGAGATCTGAGGGTGATAAACCTATATTTCAAGTTTCATTGAAATCGGATAAAAATTGTGACCTGTAGACTGTTCACAAACAGTTATATCAGTTTTAAAAAAACAAGCCAACAGTGAGGCTGATGTCCCCCGCCGAAATCCCAAAATAAATAGATGACACATATTAACTAATTGCACATTTATTTTTTTCAAAAGTTTCCAGCAATCAAACTACAAATGTCATTACTAAAAGGCCCAGGTTCATTAGTCAACGGTATCAGCTTACCAGTGTTAGTCAAGGTAATGATATAATGAATCTATATTCAGAGTTTCATTGTTCTCACTTCATTATAACCAAAGTTATCGTGCCACTAAAGCATCAACCAATCAGATTGCTTATCTCTGCCTACACAAAGCAGACAATGTTCATAATCGAACTCCATCAAGGGATTTGCCTAATGAATGCTTACACCAAGTTTGAACATTCTACCTCAATTAGAAGGAGAGTTATTGTGTTCCAAATTCTCGATCAATCAAATTGTTTATCCCTCTGCTTACCCTCAGCAGAAAATGATCATTATCGAACTTAGTCAATGTATTGATGTAATAAAGCTATACACCAAGTGTCCTCACTCTCACTTAATTAGAACTAAAGTTATAGTGTCCAAAAGCATCAACCAATCAAATTGCTTATCTCTGCTTACCCTAAGCAGAAAATGCTCATCTTCGAACTCCATCAAGGCATTGACCCAATAAACACCTACACCAAGTTTGCACATTCTAGCTCAATTAGAAGGAGAGTTATTGTGTTCCAAAATCTTGGCCAATCAAATTGCTTATTGCTCTGCTTACCCTGAGCAGAAAATGCTCATTATCGAACTTAGTCAAGGTATTGATGTAATGAAACTATACACCAAGTTTCATCACTCTCACTTAATTAGAACTAAAGTTATCGTGTCCCAAAGTATCAACCAATCAAATTGCTTATCTCCGCTTACCCTAAGCGGAAAATGCTCATCTTCGAACTCCATCAAGGTACACAAAGTTTGAACATTCTAGCTCAATTAGAAAGTGGGTTATTGAGTCCCAAAAAGTGTGACGGACAGACAGACGGACGAACTCATTTTAATAGTCCCCTGCTTTCTTCGAAAGGCGGGGGACAATAATATTTGCTTTCGAAAAGTGGTACCAAACTGCCAAAATTGTAGTTTTGGGTAAAACTAGAACTGCGAAGCAGTAATGACGGGTTTCGCTGGTGCCACGTTACCCTTGAACTTATGTCACTTTCGGTGCCACGTTAACCTTGAACTTATCATTTCCAGTACCAATGGGACTGATAAACAGATTTCCACATAAACTTTGCACGCATCAAATAAAATGGAAGCAGCTTCAACCAAATCCAGCAATATCAATTTATTTTATACACTTGTTACATGTAAGTGATCCTGGCAAAATTACATTACCTCGGTGATAAAATGTATGTTTAAATAGTTTTATGAAATCAGAAATGGCATAAGGCATCGCCTGGTGAAAATTTTATGTAAATCGAATATTAATTGCTACTTTTATGGACTAAAAACCTTGAAAAGTTACCTGTTGAAAATCGTCTATTTCTCGCCAACTGAACAAGTTAGAAACCATTTTGTGATATCTATATCATCGTATGGGTTCATTCTATTAGTTGATTGGAATCAAATATCAAAAATTTAAAAAAATAACAAATACGACTCATTTGAATAAAACATATCTTTTAAAGGCTAAAAATACTTTTTTGCCCATATGATGTCAGTTCCGCTGACAGTGAATATGTTAAATTGGTTTGACCTAGTCAAAATTAGCATAAGGCATCAAATGGTAAAAAAAATGAAAATCGAATATTAATTGACTCCTTTACAGCCAAAATAACGTGAAA